CACGAGATTATGAGAGGGAGAGGGAGAGGGAGAACGAGAGAGAGAGAGAGAGAGAGAGAGAGAGAGAGAGAGAGAGAGAGAGAGAGAGAGAGAGAGAGAGAGAGAGAGAGAGTATATCGTATACATAAGAACGATTTGTGTAAGCCATTATATATAGACCACGTGGCTGTTTACAACGTGGCTCAAAGTCCAGTAGACAACCATCTCGACTCAGCGAGGACTTCGATGACGAGTTTATCTGGCCTTGTTTGACCCCTTAGTACGTGTCTAGCAGCCACCGGGCTCAGGTCATATCACCAGCCTTCCGCCTCCACAGGGCTGGTCGGCGGACCCGCGACTCCGCACCCAGCGCTTACCCATGACTCGTCTCGTGTGGTCCTCCACTGTGTAGTATTCTTCCTCAGTAAAGAGTCGAGCCGTTTTAAAACTAGGCCTACCCTGCAAACCATTGTACAAAGGTTCTGCCCATAGCCTTTTACACAGAGAGCGACAGTCAGAGTCGTGAGGCGTCTGCGCCAGGGAAAGCACAAATGAGATGAGGGGAGGAGAGCGAAATAGGAGATGGACAGAGGAGGCAGCAGCGATCGAGGGATGGAGGGCAAAGAAGACTGATATTGTGAAGGAAGGAACGTGACGGAGAGGGCGGACTCGTCAGGTTGATGGAAGGCCCGCGTGACGTAAAATTTCCTCGAGCGGCTGGGGGGAGGGGGGCATCCTCTGGGGAAGGCTCCTGGTTATCATTTTTTTATTTTTTATTTTTATTCATTGCTCTTATTTATTGCTAGTTTATTTGTTAGTCTAGTCATTTATTTGTTTGTTTATTTATTGGTTATATTTATCTATATGTGTTTATTCATGCATACATTTATTTATTTATTTGCCCACACAAATTTATGTGAAGTCGTATGTATATCTTGTATATGCATATCCATATATGCACGCTTGTGTATAAAGCACATCTATCTATACATCTGTATTCACCACACCCTCTGGCCTTTTCTGTTACTTCTTATCTTATCAATCTTCCTCTTTCTCCCCCCCCCCCCAGTACACAATAGACATGTAACGGAATCATCGTTTTCGAGCACGATCTGTTCCAGGAAGAATGGCATGATGATCCCGCCAAGTCATATCGGTAATCAAGTTCCAGGAATCCATCATAGTTATTTCGAGGAGATCGAGAGAGCTGTGCTTTGTAGCTGATTATTCAGGCTAAAGCTGCCGATCTTTCCACGTCCTGTTTTGTTGTGTATTCGCTTTTATTCAGATTTATTTGTGCCATTTTCTAAATTGTATTTCTGTGTTGTGTTATGTCGTATTACCACCTGTTTTTTACTTGTTTTCGTTTATTCGATTGATTTATTCACTAATATTTTTTACCATTTTCTATTGTATTCTCTAATATATAGATAATTTTACCGCATATCCTTTCTTTATATTTTGATTATATCTTTACATATTCTTTTGTTGTTATTCATCTATCTATGTCATTCTGACGTAGTTTCTCTGCTGTATCGAATCATATCACCACATGTCTCTATTTCTTCCCTATGAAAGTCCCCGCCGGAGTACAACATTTAATCATATTCCCACCCGAGTGAAGGCCAGGGGAGACCGCCGGCACTGTTAGGTCTGACGTTTCTGTCCAGCTCGGTTGAGCGAATATTTTCTAAAGGATCATTGGCTTCGCGGGGAGAAAATAGGCGAGCCGGAGATTGAATTAGGAAGGGAGGATCGACGCCTGCTGATTATGAAAAGGGGCTGGCAGTGCTATTCATTTTTCTCGAAGGTCTCTGCATGAGGGTTTCGGAAAGAGGGAGGGAGAGGAAGAAGGTATGAGGGAGAGAGAGAGAGAGAGAGAGAGAGAGAGAGAGAGAGAGAGAGAGAGAGAGAGAGAGAGAGAGAGAGAGAGAGAGAGAATAATTACAAATCATCAATGAACTATATACTACTAGTTATAGCATATGTAATGTATATGTAATCACGACAGTAATTGCTAACATTATTGTTATCACCGTCGCCAGTGGTTGAGAGAAGGTCTGTTTCCCCGCCCCTTTTGTTCTTGCGACACCCACGCCCTGCTCTCGCTACCAACACAGGCGCCTTGCAAAAGATAACACCTTCGAGCGTTGCCTTTGATGTTTTTCTCACGCCAGTAGTAATCCATTTGAGGCAAGGGCCACGGAGACACGCTGGCACGGATGAAAAACACTCGTCATGAGGAGGGACTAAACTTTTGGCACTCGATTGCAGAACGTTTCGGATCAGGAGATGAGATCCACATCCGGCGTCTGAGCGCGAAATATGGAATTCACTTTTTTTCGTTTCTTCTTCTCTTCCTCGTCTTTTCTCTCTTTTTCGTCGTCTTCCTCTTGCTTTTTATTCTTGCTCTTGCTATTCCTCTTTCTTTTCCTCCTCCTCCCACTCCTCCTGTTATTAATGCACCTGTTTTTCTCCCCCGAACTGCTTCCACTAACTTTTGCCTTCCCTCCCGCCGCAGGTGCTGGCGAACTTCTTGCTGGTGTCCGCGGCGACGCTGCTGGGCCTCATGTCCTACTTCTTCGCCGACAAGAAGCACCGGCGGGCCTTCCTCGAGACGCGCCAGTCCCTGGAGGTCAAGATGGTCATCGAGGAGCAGTCCCGCGAGCAGGTCAGTTGAGGGCGAGTTTGTCGGGGCCGGGAGGGGTGGGGGAAGGTTTTCTTTATATTCCTTATTCCTTCCTTCTTTATGTCCTCTTAAACGCGATGTTTTTCTCGCCCGGAATGAAGGGTTATTGCATTCGTTCCTATTTTATCTCTTTATGCACTAATACCGGTCCCATGCTCTTTTATCGGAAGCAATTTGTGTTGTTTCCTCAGTAGCCTTATTAATCTTGGTCGTTGTCATGGTAACCGCCCTTATTAATTTTATTTGGATATGGATAGTTAGTGAGATCCTGCAGAGATGTTATTAATAAGGGGAGCGAGAGAGGGGAATGACCGAGTAAGAGAGTGAGTGAGTGAGTACGTGAAAGAGTGAGCGACTGAATGGCCGAGAGAGTAAATGTGTGAGAGAACTAATGAGTGAGTGAGTGAGTGAATAAGCAAATGCGTGATTAAGCCAATATATGAGTAAAGTGAGAAAGTGAGTAAATGAATGAGCGAGTGAGTGAGCGACTAAGTGTATGCGACTGTGCGTGAGCATGACTAAAAGAGGATTTCCCACATTCCTTTCCATTCGCCGCACAACTATTTCATCCCTGAGGAATAGCCCTCCCTCTCCCGCCATAGAGCCCAAGTTGCAGTAATCAGCCGCGAAACCGACGCGTCTCCTCGCCATCAACACTTTTGTCGTCTCTCGTTACGGATCTACTCCCGCCCACGGCGTCACCGGGGAGAGGGCCTTTTCGAATGCGAAACGAGAGCGCCTCCCTTTCCCTGAGAGGACAAGTCGACGGAGGAATTTAGAGGAAGAGTGTCATAAGGCACAAAGGGCGAGCGTTGAAGACTCATTGTGACTATATATACCTATATGTGTTTATAAAGATGGAATACTGATATAGATTCTTCCTCATAATCCTGCCTGTCTTCGACCCGCCTCCTCTCAGCTTCGCTTCTATAGACGCGACGCAGGTCGAATTACCTCCGCTTGTCCAAGTCGAGATTCCTGTCAACTTCATTTAACTTTGGGTCTATCATTACTAATTAGCACCTCCGTAGATTAACGGGCAGGGGTTAGGGGAGGGCTGGGAAAGGGGAAGGGGAAAAGGAAAGTGGTAAGGGAGAAGGAAACAGAGGAAGAGAAGGAGACGGGACACCTTGAGATCCTTCTGCGTTGGATTTATAAAGAATTTCGGTACAAAAATATTCATGGCGCAGCGCGGGAAAATAGGGGGAATGGGAGAACAGAAGGGAAAGCGGGGGGAGAAGAGGGCGAGAATGGGAAGAAATAAAACAAAATGATTACAGGAGCTGTCGAATAGGAGAGGAAGAGCAGGGTTTCCTTGGGTGAGTGTCTGTAAGGATATTATTATTAAGTCAGATCTTAATTAGTAGTTATCCTTGGTTCTTGGACGTTCTCTGTATGATATATTACAGGAATATATGTATGGTTGGGTATGTTGGGATTCAGTAAAAAAATATAAACCTTTACCATTTATTTATACTTAAAAAAATATTGATTATAAACACACACAAAAACAAAATACAATGTCGCTTCGCAATCCCTCGCGTTCATGTTCACTTCCCAAAAATTCACTTCACTTTCTCACTCGATATCACTATTCTTATTCACTTATTTTTAGCACAGACGTCCATGAGTGTTGATTGTAACTTAAATTCACTAGTGGAGCTGCAGGATTCCACCCGTCTATCTCCGTCTCTGCTTCCGTCTGTCTCTCTGTCTCTGGGCATTTGTTTCCTCTGCCTTTAGCCTTTAGGGAAGGACATTACACCATTAATGTTAAATAAAGATTAACAACAACAAAATACTCTCATAGATCTCTCAAATGCGTCAAGTCCGCATTATATTCTAAATTAAATAACAATGAAAATAAATACTCTAATCACCTTTAGGGGTAGTCAGTTTACCGACTGATGGGAAAAATACGCCGTTACTGCTGCTATGACCTTCACACAAGCGCCACCAGTTCAGCTATCCTAGGCCTATTTTCGCTCAATCACCTCGTCACCTCTCACGCGCGCTTTTTACACCACACACACACACGCACACACATCTAAACAACCACAAGCAGGTGGTCAAAGCTTAAACTGTGATTGTGTGCCTGACAAATACCCCCCTAATAATTTAAGAAATTGTTAATTTCTTTAGATTACTAAATAACATAAGCACAGATTTACGCTTCTTAAAAATTACCGCCACATTAAAGTCTACTTAAACAATCTGCACCTACGTTCTCGCGACCCGCAATGTTCTTTACGGTGTAGTTGAATTGTTGCATATACATAGACCATCGCATCAACCTTCCATTTAAATGATTTGCCGAATTAAGATATTTTAGAGGCTGATGGTCTGATTCTATAACGAAAGCTTTACCGTATAAATACTGGTAAAATTTACTTACGGCCCACACTACCGCTAAACATTCCTTCTCTATTACCGAATAATTTCGCTCGGCTCCCTTTAATTTCTTACTCGCGTACAGTACTGGCCAACGCTGTCCATCCTTGTACTGCAAAAGCACCGCACCTAACCCTACCTCTGAAGCGTCAACTTGCAACACGAAGTCTTTAGTCATGTCAGGGAGTTTAAGAATAGGTCGAGTACTTAATGCTTCTTTTAGCTTTTCAAAAGAATCTTGGTGACAAATTTCCCACCTTACGTTATTAGGCTGAGATTTTTTAATTAGCTCATAGAGAGGCGCAGCAATTGTGGCATAATCGGGTATATAATGTCGGTAGTACCCTGTTAGACCAAGGAAAGATCTTATTTGCTTTTTAGTTTTCGGACTAGCCATATCCATTACCTTATTTACCTTATCCGTGGTTGTTTGCGTCATTCCGCCCCCTACATCGCTTCCCAGGTACTCTATGGTAAAATACCCTATCTCCGTTTTCGACGGGCGAGCGGTGAGCGATGCATTTGCAAGAATGTTAAGAACCTTTATTAACGTTTTAAGGTGTTCCTCCCATCCTTTCGTATGAATTAGCAAATCATCGACAAACATTTCTACGTTAGCTATATCGTAAAACAATTTCCTCATCATGCGGTTGAACGTAGCACTTGCATTGATCAATCCAAACGGTACAACTTTAAACTGCATTAGCCCTTTGCTCGTTTGGAATGCTGTGATCGTCTTGCTTTTTTCGTCTATGGGGATTTGCCAATACCCGCGGGAAAGATCGATCTTTGTGAAATACCGACTACCGCTGATACGAGTCTTTATTAAATCCTGATCTGGCATAGGCTCAGAGTCAAATACCGTCAACTTGTTAATCTTACGACTATCCAAACAAACGCGATCACTCCCGTCCTTTTTCTTCACAGCGATTAGCGGGTTCGAGTAAGGCGAGGCTGAAGGTTCTATCACGTCTAACTCGAGCATCAGATCTACTTCATCGTCGATATTCTGCTGCAACGCATAAGGAATAGGATATTGTTTAGTATTTACCGGCCTATCACTAGTTAGAGTAATTGTGTGCGCAATGACTTCTGTTCTTCCCGGGACATCCGTGAATACCGCGCTAAACTCCGACAATACGTTCGCCACATCGTGTTTCTGGTCCGCGCTCAATTCCTCATTTACCCTTACGTTACTCACGTCTTCCTCCTGTACATAGCTTGGGACGGTAATTACTTCGCCACCCTCGTCGTGGTCTTCGCAAACTACTGCCACACAAGCAAGGATTGAATTATCTTCATTCTCTTGTTCACTATTCTCATCAACGTTACTCTTACCGTTGATCACGTCACGCATTACCTCAACATCGCATGTTGCATCAGTGCGTTCCACATCTTTATTGTGCCTACTGTCGCCTACTTTGACGAATCGCTCATGATAGCGCTTGATCATATTGATATGGTACTTACGCTCTGTACCGTTTATATCTAGCACGTAGTTATATCTGTTTGCTTTCTTAACGACCTCGAATGGTCCTTGCCACTGCAACAGGAGTTTATTGTGACTAGTGGGAAGTAGGAGTAACACTTTATCTCCAACATTCACCTCCCTCTCGCGCGCACGCTTATCATAATAATACTGGTAACTGTCTCCAGCTTTTCCTAATTCCTTCTGCGCTAATTTACACGTCTCTTGCAACCTTTCCCTTAGATTAATCACGTACTCGTATGTGGTCCGCGTGTCGTCCTCGATTGCCTCTCGATCGCCCTCCCACAGTTCGCGCAACAAGGCGAGTGGCCCGCGCACTGAATGACCGTAGACAAGTTCAAACGGTGAAAACTTCGTGCTTGCTTGCGGAACTTCGCGATACGAAAATAGAAGCGGATCTATGAATCGTGGCCACATTTTCGGTTGCTCTTGACACATACGCTTCAGCATCTTTTTTAAAACGCCATTGAATCTTTCAACCAAACCATTACTCATCGCATGGTATGGTGTGGTTGTTAAACTCCTTATAGATAGCAAACGATTAAATTCCCTCATCATCTCTGACGTAAATTGGCTACCCCTGTCTGACATTACTTCTTTCGGAATCCCAACGCGACTGAAAACTGAAATTAACGCTTCTGCAACGGTGCACGTGTCAATGTTTTTCAAAGCGATCGCTTCCGGGTAACGCGTCGCGTAATCAACAATCGTAAGAATATACCGCGATCCATCATTCGCCCGAGGCTCTATCGGACCCACTATATTCACGGCGACTCGTTGAAAAGGCTCCTGGATAAGCGGTACTCTTCCCATCTTGACTCGCCTGACACGCCCTTTGTCGACCGTGCGTTGACATACGTCACACGACCTGCAATACCGTGCTATCTCTACACACATTCCTGGCCAGAAAAAGTTACTTTGAATTCGCGTTGTGGTTTTCTTTATCCCGAGATGCCCTCCCATGAGAGAGTCGTGGGCCAGCCCGATCACCGCGTCTCGAAAAGATTCAGGCACCACTAATTGCTCAGTCACCTGCTGTGTCCTTTGAACGCGCCGGTATAACGCGCCGCGCTTCACCACGAAGCTATGCGATTCACCCTCG